TCAAATGTTGGGATGGAAATGGAAGAGAGAGGGTTAGGGTGGTATTTCCAGGTAGTAGTTCAACACAATTCACTAGAAATTAGCCGGAAAATGCACAGATTTGGCCTTGATACTCAGCCCAGTCGCACGGGTCAAGGACGAGACCCGATTTTCCCCTCATTCTCACCTTCCCTCCTTTACCTCCTTTCTCTTCTCTCTGGTTGGTCAGTCTCCTCTCTTCCTCTCCTCCGATTGGGCAGCAGCCCCCTCATCTATTTTTTTCTTGTTTCCTTTCTTTTTCTGTTTTTCCTCTCCCCTGGCCACACACACACACACATACTCTTGGCATATAAATCATTTAATAATATAAAAAAAACATAGTGTAAAATAATTAAAATAGTATTTCATTCCAAATACCTTCGGGTTCGTAACTCAATAAAACTTTAACCGTAACTCCAAAATCACTTCTACCTGTGCCTACGCGTCCGTAAGATCGATCTCTATCCGAATATGTCAAGAAACATGACGAAATATACGAGAATCACATACGTCCTCGAAAATCATGCTTTGCCCACATGGCATTTCCGTAATTTCATGTATTAAAATTATAAAAACCATAATTTTTAGGGATGGGCTGTCACAACAAAGAAGTGTAAAAATGTTTGTAAAAATATGATCATATCCCATATATATATATATAATTTTGCCTACTTGGTTTGCCTAACTCATTGAGTGACAAACTTTGTCTATAAGACAATTAAGCAGGCAACATTGCCACATCAACATTTATACTACAATTTTGCCTAATTTAATTGTGTATACCAATGTAGATATATACCCTACCTCATAATATTTTTAATTTTTTTAATATATACTCTATCTCATAATTTGAACTTATCCTTTTTAGGTCATATTGAAATATGTTTCCAACAAAAGTTTACTTAAGTTAGAAACCGTTTAATTATCTAAGTGCGACCTAATAAAATAAGAACCAACCTTGTGTTGTCAATAACTAATGAAATGTTCCTAAAGATAATAATCAAATGGCTAAATGATTTTCAATTTTAATGAAATTTGCGAGGACGTGAAAAATGAATAGTTCCAATTATAAGTTTACTAACTTATTAACACTTGAACACGATTATCTACACACGCATACTTAAAACCACAATTCGATCAACTAAAATAGCCTACGCTACCATGTGTGTCATCAAGCAGAGGCCTTGGTGCCTTGTTGAGGAGGTCCCGTCACCATAAGATAATTTTTCGTACAATATGAAATACCACACACCGCTGCCAATAATGATGCTTAGTGATGAATACTATATGATATATGAAGGGTAGTGCTATATCCACACACCTCTTTTGTTCTTCTACACATATTTTTAATTTCTAGATCTTATATCGAATGAATTGAAAAATATCAAATAACAAAAATTAACAAAAAAATGTGTGAAAAGTTAAAAATAAAAAATATGTGAATAACGCCATCATATATCCGATCCGAATAATGACCTACTGTTAGTGATGTTTTGCCATATCCTTCCTGATCTTTTGCCTTTTATCAGAAACTGGATATGGGGCCAAATGTACCACATCCAAAACCTTGAACATTTGTTTCCAAATTCTAGTAACCTGTCAAATTCCCTATGAGTTTCTCACCGATACGGTGGGTTTTAATTTTCTGGGAAACCTAACGGAAAGACGAGGCCCAAGAGACATCACGTAGGCTCTGCAGCAGGTGTTCTCCAGGATTCCATATATTTTAAGGATTTGGCGTAATTTGTCAGTTCTATGATCTTCGAACACATTCACTTGATTTTAAGGATTTTTGCACCCGTTTGATAACTATTTAATTTTAGTTTTTACTTTTTTTGCTTATGATATGAGAAAAGTATTGCTAAAGTTAATTCTTTATTCTTGTCCTAAATTAGAGATATAAAGAGGGTTGGAGTTTGAAAGCAAATTGAACAACCTTGCAAAATTTTTTTTGTCAAAATGATAGACTTATTAGCACTAGCGGAGCCAATGTGGGGGCCTTGGCATACCTTGACCCCAATATGTTTGTAAATTTATCCTTTTGAAAATTTTTGTGACCCCCATAGGTGCATAGCAGCAGCAGATGAAATATTGGGCATTGGAATATTATATGAGTAGCAGCATATGAAATATTATAAAAAAAATCCATAATTTCCCATTAGTTAATTCCAAATTCTATTAGGCATTGGACTTAATTTTTCATTAGTTAATTGACTTAATTTCATTAGCCAATCCCCAAACACTGAAGACTTAAAGTGCCTAATTAGGTTTTTTTTCTTGTACTTTTGGTTGAGTCAGTGGTTGTTAATGTGATCAAACTTATATTATGTGGTTAAGTTGGTTCATCTTACTTAATTTTATCCAAATATGGAGCTCACACTACTTGAAAATGAACTTAAGAATTATATTTCTGGCATGCATTTGCATAATAAATTTTCTGAGTTGAAAGGAATTAGTAGTCTTGCACAAAAGTTGGTGGAGACAAAGAGGGATAGACAATATCCCCTTGGTGTACATGCTAGTGAAATTAGCAATAATTTCACCAATTGCGAGTCTTGCAACTGCTTCTATTGAAAGAGCTTATTCAATGATGAATAATGTGAAGAATCAACCTCATAATAGGATGGGTGGTCATTGGTTGAATGATAGTTTGTTTGTTACATTGAGAATGACATATTTAATTATGAGAACACGTTGTGGACAATTATAAATGGAAGTACAATTGATTTTTGAAAGCTATTTTTTGACCCATCGTTGTAAATTTTTTGCTCCGCCATTACTTATTAGATTCTAATGATACTGTTTATATCCTTAGACAAAATATTGAAAAAAAAATTCAGGACCAATAAAAACCTCTGTTGTGTTTTTGTTTGCCCCTCAAGATAGCAATGGAACAGCCTCGCAATTTCACAACGGTGAAAACGTTGTCATATATATAGGTTGTATAAGTTTGAGAGCAGAAACGCTTCGTCTTGTACCTAGCTAATAGCTGTATGTTTTAAGGTCAAAAGTTGGTCCCTGAGCGTGAGGCTAATATTTTGGAATCTTAGTCTTGAGCCTTTCACAGAAAGTTAGTACATAATTTTTACGTTTATAGCGAAATTTTATCTTTAGGACATTGTCCATATACAAAGTTTATATACTCAACAAGTGAGTCTATTTCAATTTGTTTTTTCTCTTCTGTTCATGCGATCTTACTGTTATAACGTACTATATTTGTTATAGTTGCATAACTACTGTTATCTATTTGCTTTCAGACAGTATTGCCTACGTAATATTTATCTGTCAAGAAAGTATGCAAACTAACACTTTTTGTTATAATTATTATTATTATTATTAAGGAGGGAGGGAAGAGTTTGAAACTATTAGAATAATTTAGGAGATGAGATAATTTCGAACCCGAAAAGCATAGGTAGAAACCTAACATCTTATCTACTAAGATATTGAACCATATGCATGCAGGAAACCTGCTGAAACGGTTCAATATGTTGAATTTCAAACCACTGAATATGTTGGAACCAAATTTTTACACCTCCCTACACGGCTAAGCAATCGCTGAAAACCTGCTTGCAGGATGAGCAAACAACCGTAAAAACTATTTCTTAGGAGACGGTTAATCAAGTCAAGTCAGTCAAGACTTTTACATATGACAGCATATATGTTTGATGCCTTTGATAGGAATCCTAAGGGGTTAACACATTTATGCAAAAATTCAATTAAAAATAAGGTCATTTATTCAATTTGTAGAAAATAGATTAACGGTTCGTAATGTTTTTAACAAATCCGACCATATATTTTTATACAATTCGATAATTGTACAATCTTATTATTATCAATTTTTTGCAAATATGATATTTATTAGAGATAATTTATAAGATAAACGATTTTGATTATAAATATGAAACTTTATCAATCGGTCACAAAATATGTTGAGAAATAACTCATCTTCAAGTATTGAGAAGCAAGTGAATTCCTTGCCTTAGATTACATCATTAGCTTCTTGAAATTAATGTATAATTTGATTCATTTTGCGTGCACCACACATGATAACTGATGTATTTTTAAATCATTAGTAAATCCACCAGATGATTCCTGGATAATCAACTCCCTGCAATTTGGTAAAGGCTTCCTAGAAAGTAACTCGGTGATTTAAAGTACTGGGCAAATTGAGAATCCACCAATCTGCTTTGCAAGTTGGTTAACATTTGAGAAACAAAAGTGAACGAAATGACATTTAAACTGCTTTGACAGAAAAGAAAAGAAAAAAAGTACTCTTATAAGTTTTTTTTCACGACACACTTCAAGAGCTTTAAACTCAAAAACTTAATGAGGTGTAAAACACACAAAATGTGAACTGTTTCCTTGAAAGCACTTGCCATGTAAACTTTTCAGGAAGTGGTCTTTCAAGACAGTTCTCAACTGTTAGATGCATATCCGAATCAACGACTATTATGTCATGTGGCTCATTACTAGGCATAATACATGCTAAGTGTATAGTATGGGTTTGTTCGTTCTCTCTCTCTCACTCTAAGCACAAACTAAACAACAAGAAAACCCCCTAAATAAAGCTTACCAAAACCGAACCCTAAATAAAGCTTACCAAAATCGAACCCTAAATTAATCCTGAATTTTTCTCTTTCACTTTGCATTTTCTCAATCTTAATTTTCGTCTCTTTTCATGGAGGTGTGGTGGTGCTCTTGGTGTTTATAGGTTTAAACAACACACGATATCATAGTATAAATAATGTACTTCCAATCGAGTCCTATTAAAATCTAAAAAAAACCAAACAATTGAACTGTTTTTTATTTGAAAGCAGTTGCCATGTAGAATTTTCAGGAAGTACTTTGTCAAGAAGAACTTCATACTCAAAGACAGAATTTGAAAGTTTAATGATTTGATCAAGAAGCCCAAGCCCGACAAGAAAAAAACCTAAAGACTTTATCAAGAAGCCCAAACCAAAGCAACTAAACCTAAACCTCCAAAAAAGTGGTCGTTAGGGTTTAACCCTTTCAAACGACGTCGCTGCGCCTCACGGAGTAAAGTCCGGGCAAAGTTTCCCCGCCCTGCTTCCTTCCTTCCCCAGCTCCAAGTCTCCAGACTCTCCATTGCAATACAATTCTTCAACTTATCGAACACTTTCTCTTCGTTTCTCGGGAAAATACTTCAATTTTCTGGTAATCTTCTCCCCCCTTTCTCTAAATTCTGAATTTAATTGTCTTCCTTGTATATGTAGATTCATGCACAACACTGCTGCATGTTTGAAATTCCAATTAATGGAAAAATTAATCTCTTTTCGTACTGTTTTGGATTTTCTGCGATTATGTTTGGTGAAAGTTCCAAACTTTTCTGTAATGCTTGCTAACTTTCGCCTCAATTCAGCAGCTAAGAAAGTTTTTCTTAATTAATTAACTAATTAGCCATTCAGTACTATGATTCGGTGGTATTCCTCTTCATTTAGAAGTGAAGGGTCCTAGGTTCGAATCTCGTGGATAGCAAATTCGATATCAAATTAGGCTGCTCAAATAAAATAAATTAAATTAACTAATTAAAATTTTTAATTGATCTATTTAGCTGCTAATATAATTGTGCGTATGTAATGGCATTTGGATTTTAAAAGTATCAGTGCTTTTGAAGAGGAAATCATGAGTAAAAAGGAAAATTAAATCTACCCTTTTACACGATAATGATACTTAGAGATATAACTCATTTTTTGAACATAAGATGAAAAAATCTGTTGGTGTTAATCGTAATCTGATAGTAATAAAGCAAACTTAAGTAGTAAGCGGAAACACGTGGCTTGGCAATGACGTCCATGTTCCCAATTCCAGAATCCAAACAATGCTTCAACGGTAGAATAGTTAGGCAGATGCCAGAATTCTTAATCTTCTATTTCAAATTGTACAAAATTCAAAGTCTCATTTTTTCTTCGTCATGCTAGATTGCAATGAACGAATACATCGGTGATGAAACAAACAATGCACAAGAACAAAAGGAACATGAAATAGAAGACCCCGAGCTGTGTAGACTTCTTGTACCAAAAGCAGAAGATCTGCCTCTCATCCCTCCCTCTTCTGTTGAATCCAACTTTGTCTCTTATTTCGCTCCAGGTTCTTCCTAATGTGTTCATTTGATTTTCTAATAGCACAACTATTTGTGTAAAGCTAAAACATCTGTTTTTGTGTCCAGATTTTATGAAGCCAGGACATGACCAGTACATTTATCGCCATGCCAATGGGTACAAAACCCAACCTTTTTCGTTTTGTTTCATATCTGTTTGTTAACTTTTCAAAAGTGAAGTTTGATTGTTTTTAAATTGTAATTTTATGTCCAAGATTGTGTGTGATTGGCTTGGCTCCAACACATGTGGCTCTTAAGGAAGAAGGGGGTATCACAGCTGTTGATTTCAATGTTGGGAAATCTGATCGTAGTGGGATAAAGGTTACTGGAAAACGCAAGAAGGTATCTGTTCTTTCTCTAATTCTAAAGATGGAAACTAGGTTCTCTTGCTCTCTGAGCTAGTAGCTTGTAGAAATTATTTATTTATTCTTTTAATTTTCTGGACAATTTCTTTATCATTCTAGTTCATTTACATAATCTGTAATTGCTATGCTTTTATCTCTTTTAGTATATAATATTTTAGGTTGTGGAGTCTTAAACTTGATGAGGCATGGTGTCAGTTCTTATATTGTGATTTTGTAATATATGAAAATTGTTCTTATGCAGAATGCACAACACTTGGAGTCCAACTCAGCCTTGTGTAAAGTTTGCACCAATGATGCTACTTATATTGTGAGGTAGAAACCTATTTTTGTCTATGCTTTCTTCGTCTTTCAGTTTTCATTATTCTGCATTCAACTCCTTTCCATATATGAGCTTTGAAGTTGTAGTTTCTTTTGACAGGTGTTGCGTAAAAGGTTCACTATTGGAAGTGAATGATAGATTAATCAAGCAGCCAGATTTGCTTAATTCAGCAGTAAGAATCAGTTAATACCCTTTTATTAGCGGTTGTCAGATTTTTACTGTATAGATCTGTACCATTGGAGTCATTATTGTTAAATGGAATCAACGTAGGTAGGATTAAGCATATTTCCTCTTTTCGTACTTAACGCCTGTAACTGTGACACTATACTTCCATATGTTTGTATTTGTAAACATCGTTTAGTGCCTACAGACTAGATACTGCACTGGATAAAAGGATGAGAAATGTTAACACAAGAACAATGATATGCATTTCAGGCAAATAATGTTGAGAGAGAGGAGAGAGGGAGAGGTGGGGGGTTAGCATTCCTTTGGTACTGAAATACCATGAAGATATTTTGTGTTTGAACATACCTTGGGTAGCTTTTGTTTGATCTGAGTCAATGCATGCTACTTCTATTGATTGAATGTTTTGGGATGGTTTCTGAACCTTATGATTGATTAAGACTGGCATTGACGGTTGTGATGGTGTAGGCTTAGAATTCCTAAGTAACTTGGTCTTGTGGGACTGAAAAGACACCACAAGCTTCTACTCTTATCCATGCTGCAGTTTTACATCCGAAGATACCTACCCTCTCAGGGCATCTGGCCATCACATGTATTGATTTGTGTTTTCTTTTTCACTTAGCGTCTTCCTTTTTACACTTTTTGACAGTAGTTTTAGTTCTTTATACTAGTGCTGCGGTTTGTAGGCTGGTGGCTCATTCTTCATACTTATTTGTCCCATTCCAGGCAGATAGAGAAGGATATATTGCCATTATCATGCCAAAGCCAGCAGATTGGCTCAAAGTCAAGGATTCGCTGTTAAGCCTTGAAGATTACAAAAAGCTGAGGGAAGTTTCATGACTTGTCATAAAGTTGGCAAATTCCCCTCTTTTATCACCGATCCTGGATGAAAAAGAGAGAACATTGAAATCTGCTGTCTATCATGGTGCATACGAGATTACCCATCACTTACTCCTTGCTTGTGGGTGTCACAGCTTTGATATCTTGTGGCTTTTGGCAGTTTCAACGCATACGATTGGTACATTTTCTCCCCTGCTTCCGTATCATGTATACCATTAAAGTTATATTATTTCTGAAAATAATGATGGTTTTAATAAAGAAAATTGCAGTACATCCTTTGCATTGTTTTATAGCATTACATTCTTCTGATAGAACTGTATATGTGACGCTCGTAGTCAGGTAATTAGTTATTCATTGCAACTAATCTGCCAAATTAAGGGCTGATGTAGTTATGCGCCATTTATGAAGGGACTATTCTGCCAGCCATTACATAAAGCAACATACTAAGTACAATAACAGAAGGAACCACACACTAAGATGATCGAATATCTACTTCGAATATTTGATGTAACCGACCGAAGTATTCACGTCCTTTATAAGAGTCCCAAGCAATGGTGCCAACACACACTTAGAGGTATCTTCCCTGTAAAAGAACCCTAAGCACTTACAGTCCTTATCACACTTGGCCCTGCACTCTCCGACCTTCATTGGACCATCTCCCCCATCCAAATAAGGACTCAGAAAGTGCTCAACATCCGCAACCTTGTAGTAGCTCGCTTTTGCCCCACTCTTACACTGTCCCAACTTTGGTGCTGCACAGCCCTTGCTCCAACCCAGAAGCCCTTTCGGGCTGGGGCACCCAACACACATGCCCCTACTACAGTACCCATACGAACCACACTTAGATGGCAATGCACATTCTCTAATGAAATAGCTCGAAAAGAATGCAAAGCTCTCTTCCCATTTCATGTTTCTCACTTTGTCATAGTAAGTATAGGCCTTGAGATTGCCATCAGACCCGAGTCTTAGAAATGTGTATGTAGCATTGTAGTTGAGCTTGTTAAGGTTGATTTGGTGTGCGTTGCCAATGGGACGAACTTGTAGGAGGTGCCTATGGCTTTGTGGTGGTGGTGGTGGTGGAGCGTTAATGTCCTGGTTTACATTGAGCACAAGCTCATAAGCAATGCCATCATCGAACCCATCCATAATGTCAAAATCAAAGGTTACAGTGCTTCCGTAGTCGGTTCCTGTCCACCCGCCATAGATAAGACGCTGGCCAGTATCGTTCAAGTACATAGTGAACCCAGTGTGGTCCAGAACAATACTGTATGGCCCATCAGAGCCATCGGTATCAGATTTGCGACTAACAAGCTTGTTACGGCCATTAGTTGTGACTGATTGCCCCAGTAGAAGAGTATCAGTAGGGTAATCAAAGCTTTGCCATATGAATCTTCCATTCTTGTCATGGAGAACCAAGTTACCGTTTCCAAGTAACTTGATGCCTGTGACACCTTTGTTGGCTGTGTTGGTTTGCCAAACAACAGTCCCATCTGCTTCTCCGAGGACTAAGTTTCCCTCTCTACCCAAAGAGAGAGTGGCTTTCTCGCGAACCGGGTGGTTCCGGTTTGCATCCCAGACCCACCGCACTTCATCCTTGGGAACACCGGCTCTGATAGCGAGTATGTAAGAATCTGGGGTGGTGTTGTAGAAGCATAACCCGAAAGGATGTGTGTAGAAGGTGTGGGAATTTGTTTGGATCACGCGGTAGGTAGCATGGTATTCTACGATTCCACCTCCTAATTCGCCTTGGTTGATGAATTTGAAGGTTTGGTTTGTAGGGACTTGGGCTTGAATGGGAATGGCAAAGAGGATGGCAATGAAGGAGAAAAGGAAAACAGCTGAAAGTGAAGTTTTAGTTGCCATTTAGTGATATTTGCTACTCGTTCTTGTGGAGGATTATATAAGGTAATTCTAGTGAGAATATATCAATAAGGTCAGGATCACCAAATGTACTCGTTAAATAAAACATTGTCACATCAGTTAAAATAGATGGTGATTTTCACACTCCTATTTCCTTTACGTCTCTTGATTCTCGTATGATTTATTCGAAAAAAGAGAATATAGGATGAGAAAGATGAGTGCGAAAATAACTTGTAATTGATGCCACTTGGATGCCCTAAATGTGTAGGGTATCTACCTTCAGGGAGAGAAGGTACTAGATGACAAGTCAATGAAGGTCGGCTGGGGAGGGGAGACAACTGTAAGATGCAGAACAAAATTATATCCTGTTTGCTGAGTAACTCCACATGTGCTAATGTAAGACATATCTTCTTGGATTGCGAGGGCAAGCACAAGTCAAGCTTGGCGTCCAGACAAGCTCATAACTTGCATTGCAGATGACAAGCTTATCACTTGCATTGTAGATAACTTAGTACTATTATCTAGTGAGAATATATCAATAAGGTCAGGATCACCAAATGTACTCGTTGAATAAAACGTTGTCACATTATTTAAAATAGATGGTGATTTTCACACTCCTATTTCCTACTGCATTTTGCTTCTTGTTTACGTCTCTTGATTCTCGGATGATTTATTCAAGGCTAGAAAAAAAGAGAATATAGGATGAGAAAGATGAGTGCGAAATAACTTGTAATTGATGCCACTTGGATGCCCTAAATGTGTAGGGTATATACCTTCAGTGAGAGAAGGTACTAGATGACAAGTCAGTGCAGGTTGGCTGGGGAGACAACTTTAAGATGCAGAACAAAATTATATCCTGATTGCTGAGTCACTCCACATGTGCTAATGTAAGACATATCTTCTTGGATTGCGAGGGCAAGCACAAGTCAAGCTTGGCGTCCAGACAAGCTTATCACTTGCATTGCAGATGACAAGCTTATCACTTGCATTGCAGATAACTTAGTACTACTATCTAGTGGTATTCCTCTTCACTTGTAAGTGAGAGGTCTTAAGTTCAATTATCGTCAAAGGTGAATTTGAATCACGTTATTGTTAGCTTATTTGGAGGCTAAGCCTACCCCTTCCTCTTTAACGTAGATAATATCGTTTGTTAAAAAAAATCAAATTATAAACTTGTCAATGTATATATATATTTGCTCCCAGAGCTTTACAGCATAAACCACCGAAAAATGTCTTCCCCTCAACTAATCATGTCACTACCGTGCATGTTCATTTTCTCACTCTTTGCTTTCATTGCTCAAGCCAAAGTTCCAGCAAATCAAACTTTCAAGTACGTCAATGAAGGGGAATTTGGGCCTTTCATTACAGAATATGATGCAAGCTATCGGATGCTTGATCCTTTTGCCTCCCCCTTCCAACTTGCTTTCTACAACACCACCCCAAATGCCTTCACTCTTGCTCTACGCATGGGTTTGAGGCGGTCGGAGTCGCAGTTTTATTGGGTTTGGGAAGCCAACCGGGGGAAACCTGTCGGCGAAAATGCCACCTTCACATTTGGGACTGATGGGAATCTTGTTTTGGCCAATGCCGATGGCCGAGTGGCTTGGCAAAGCAACACCGCCAACAAAGGTGTCGTAGGCTTCGACTTGCTTTCAACTGGCAATATGGTACTTTATGACTCAAAGGGTAACTTTGTTTGGCAAAGTTTTGACTACCCATCAAACACTTTGTTGGTGGGTCAATCTCTGCGTGCCGGGGGAGTAAGCAAGCTTGTGAGTCGAGCATCGGAGGCAGAAAACGAGGACGGGTCTTATAGCTTGGTGATGGAGGCGAAAGGTTTGGCTATGTACTACAAGAGCAAGAACTCCCCACGACCATCACTTTACTTCACATCTTCCAAATGGATTAGTGTCCAAAAGGGCTCATTGAACCATGTGACATTGAAATGTTCACCAGATGCTCATGAGGGTTTTGCTTACGACTTGAGCTTGGACTATGTAGCAGGAAACTCATCCTCCAGAGGAAATGTCATGCTTGCTAGACCCAACTACAATAGCACATCAACATTCCTTAGGCTGGAAATGGATGGAAATTTGAGGCTTCACACTTACTATAAAGTAGTTCGTTACGGTGCATGGGAGGTGACCTTCACGCTTTTCGATAAAGATTCGAGATGGGAAAACGGGTGCCAACTGCCGGAGCGATGCGGGAAGTTGGGCATTTGTGAGGACAGCCAATGTGTTGCTTGCCCATCGTCTAAGGGACTGTTGGGTTGGAGCGAGAGTTGTGAGCCTGAGAAGCTAACTTCTTGTGATCCAAAGAGCTTCCACTACTACAAAGTTGAAGGGGTTGATCATTTCTTGAGCAAGTACGCAAAGGGAGATTCAATCAAAGAGAGTGATTGTGCTAAGAAGTGTACATTGGATTGCAAGTGTTTGGGCTACTTTTACAACCAAGACACATCAAAGTGTTGGATTGCTTATGATTTGAAAACTTTAACCAAAGTTGCCAATTCCACGCATGTGGGTTACATCAAAGCACCTAACCACTAGGCCACAGAGAGAATGTACAATGTGGAATGACAATCTAGTGTGTATTTTCTTGTTTTCTTAGCTTATTCTACAATGTCTCAATTGGGTTATATGATGTTAGCTCTAGGTATGGGGTCTTATCGAGCTGCTTTATTTCATTTGATTACTCATGCTTATTCGAAGGACATTGTTGTTCTTAGGAATCTGGATCAATTATTCATGCAATGAGATATTGGGCAAAAAAAAAAAAAAAACGGTTTCTCCAACGCTATGAATATAAAGAATCTTTTTCGTAAATTCTCGCCTACTATTAAATTTATATAACCTTAAGGAGTTGCGGGTTTTTTTCTACCAATTAGGGCCTCCCTTCACCACCACCACCCCCCCCCCCAAGGGATAATCTACAGGACGCTAACCCAGCCATGAAACTACTGAGTATTTACTACCTATTGAAGCACCATGACTCAGGAACCTGTTGAAGCATCATGTCTTAGGAACTCGTGCAAGCACCATGCCTTAGGAACCTACTAAGGAACCATGACTTAGGAACTTAATGAAGTATATATCCTTACTGAGCCACTCTTGCCGATTCACATGATCAACCCAAATAAGTGGTAGTGGCAACCATCTATTGACTATTCCAGTAACCAATGGGAGGGTTTTCTCCAACGTACATGGAAGGGGGTTCATAGTCACTGTGGTGTTCTAATCCAATAATGTAATATTGTGCAGAAAGAAAGTTACACATGACATTGTGTTATTGAATAAAGAAGCTACAATAGCAGTGAATCATTCCATGTAAAAGGAAAGTCACTATATACCTTGTACAGGTAATTACTGTTTACAACCCTAAGCACTACCTACCCGAGTAACCTCTGAATCACTCTTAGTTAGCTTAAACATCAAAGACTCTTCGGCTAGTACCAAACTGGTGCCCTTCGATACTTTTCTTTCTCTTCAGATTATCGAACATTTCCATGTGTTGACCGGAGCACGCCATTAGAGTTCACCTTCATCGACCATTCATTGGTCCAACTTTTATTCATCAACAAATCCAGTGAACTCTCTGGACAACTGTATGATGTTGGACCACTACAGACTTGAGAGTCAATGGTAATGAACTAGTGGCATTGGCTCGTAGCCGCATAGACAAACTTCGTGGTGTAGGAGTAGGACCATCTCATCATTTCTTTGAACGCAGAATCTCGTGCATATTGCTAAAATTAAAGTTTATTAACTGTCCAAACCTATCAGTTATCTCAGTTTCTAGATTTTATGTGGATAAGATCTGTTATATTTATGGAAAGTGGTTGGTATTTAAACTTTTTGTTTGCTGAGTAGCAACGAATTGTTATCTGGTGGAACACATGCATGCATGCATGCATCAGCAGGTAGTTGAGTTCTTTAGTTGAAACTTCAAAACCATACAGCATGCAGAAGTGGATTAATGCAGTGTGCTGGAGCCTGGCCTGTAGCCGGAATCCATTGTCCATCACCAAATGCTCCCTCGTAGTTGCTACACCAAGTTGCTACATATTGACCAAATAGCAGTTGCATATAGTTTTCACGAAAATTTACTATGTTCTCACGTATGCTATGCACCGAATAGGTAAAAGATTGGATGTGCTGAGTAATGATTCAATTGTCAAAGATTTAGCGATAAAAATTTAAATGTATATCCAGTGGATACTAAAAAACCTGAATATATATTGATCTCGGTTACCTCAAACAGTTGGTGACTCATAAAGTATTTTGAAAGTTTATCCATATAGCAGATTCGTAAGTTGGTACGGAAATGCAGGGTCGGTTTCCATTGATCAAAGTTGGCATCTAAAGACTTTGAGCAACTCCACACCTAAAAATCTCCATGGGTTATTAGCAACTCAATCCCCCAAAGTGAACGGTAATTGCCTTAAGTAAACAGTGATTACTCAAGTGCATCTCACTCCTAAATTGAATAGTCCAGACTATTAGTATTAAAATTTTATTTTTTTATAAAAAAAATAAAAGATAATTTTATTTTTAGTTTTGGATAATAATAAAGATTGGTTGAAAGTATTTAAAAAATATTAAAATGGTATGTAAGGTGAAAGAACATGACTAGGTATTTATATAAAAACAAAGTTTTTTTCTTATAATTTTTTGTATTTATAATTATTATTTTTGTATTTATAATTTTTCAAGACTGACGCCAGCGTGACATCACTCCACCCAGTTGTTGGGCTAGGCGATTCGGGCCTGGGGGGCAATTGCGGGGGAGGGGGATTGGACAGCCCATAGCCCGGGGATTGAGCATAAATGCACACTCCAATCTATGTTAAAAGATTAAACACTCGTTCAATGACTATGTTAGCCCTCGTGGATTAATTCAGAAAACTAGATGAACATCCTTTCACAAGATTCAATTTAAAAAATAAAAAATAACTGTAAGATCTAATATTTAATTTTGATCCTTTGACTTTATATTCAACTCATCAACTTTTCATATAAGAGTTGAAGAGTCAATTAATTAAAAG